TTCTTATTTAACAATGAGAATAGTAGGACTAGGGGACACAAATATAAATTTTGGCAGGGTAGGAATCATCTTCAGCTAAGATAGTTTTATTTTCCTAACAGGGTGGTTGGCCTTTGGAATGGGATGCCTTCAGGTGTTGTGGAGGCAGTAAATTTAAGTGAGTTTAAGTAAAAACTTTATAAGTATATGAATGATAAGCCTGGCTTTAAGATTTCTTTTTTTAATTTATTTATTAATAGTTTTAGTTTATTTTAGAGAATGGAACAGCCGAGATGGACCAACAGGCCCCATGTTGTCCTAAAATGTTATGTTATGGTAGTCCTGATATATTACATTCTTTGTTCATTCTAAAGATAGAGCTGCATCAAGAGTGAGTTTCTTTTTTACTGAAAATTAAATCATCTTTTCCATTTGGTATTTAAATGATCAAATATTAATACACAATTCTCTCATGCTTTTGAAAGGAAGGGTGCAAGGCAGAGGAAAATATAATTAGTTTGGAGCATTATAGAAATGTCTTGAGTTTTTCTCCATCCCTTTTATGTGCCTTTTTTTGAGCCCCAGAGGTTAACAGTAGAAGTTGGAGAAAGATAAGATTCTTAAATTACTCAAACATTCCATTAGACTTGTGCTCGTAGCTATATTCTATGTTTTACAGATGGTTATTGAAGGCCAAAATGTTACAAAGATAAAGTTAGTTAATAAGAAGACATATTCTCTTAAATTATTGTTTATTCATTAATATAAATAATTACTTAACAGTTCATTTTAATACCATTTGTACACTGTAAATATAATTTCATTTCAATTAAAAGAAAATAGTATTTCTGAGTAATTATTAATTCTCTGTTCCAGCGCCAGCGGGTACGCATCATTCCTGTCACTACAGTTCATTACCAGTGGAAAAATCATAACAACACCTTTAGTGTGTTTGGCTTTGAGAAAAAGGTCTATGCTCCCAAGTACCCTCAGACTTGCTGCTGTGGATGTACTGTTCTCTGATTGATGACCAACTATTATTTTACTCCTCTGTGAGATATACCATCACTACTTTGAGCAGTGATCCTTTATGATTGTTGGACTCCAGATCAATATCTCTTGACATTGAATTCTGATACTTCTACATTACATTTATCTATGATTTTAAGCTGTCTTCATGGTCTATGACAGGATGAAACTAAAAAAACTACAGGAAACTACAGTATTTTCAATATAATGTTTAGAATGCAGATAATTTTGTTGTTGTGGATTTCTCTGATTAACTGTAAAACTGTATCTTACCACTGTTAAGATATTCATACACTATTAGTGTAGTACGGCTACTAATACCATAATGTTTAGAATCTCCACTTCTCTAACATGTAATGTGTATGCAGACAAAGATACTGTATTTTGTGTGGTACTGTTGCTTAGTTGTATGTTGTTTATTAAGTTCAGTGTTCTGATCTTTAAGTGCTCTGCAGAATACGTTATTGTTTGTTGTAGTCCACTGCTATGTACCACTACTAGGATTATAGTCTTTGCAAAGCCTGTTGCTGTATCTTTTAATATTTTTGTATGTTTTACAGTGCCAGTGCTAGAACCCATCTGCAGACAAAGATACTATGTGTTGTGTAGTACCACTAATAGGTTTTTTGATGTTTATAAGGACTGTTGTTCTAACATTTATTTTTTTCTGCAGACTGAGATACTATGTTTTGTGTGGTACCATTCCTAAGAATCATCATGTATTTGTGATCCTATCATTTTGATTCATTGTTGTCTTTTTGTTTACATTAATATGACTCAATGTCTATTTTGCTCATACGGATGTGTCTCATAGTTGTCCATGTGTGCCCAGTAGAAATCAGCTAACTCAAATATGCTCATACTTCCACTTCTATTAAATTATATACAGAGAAACATATGCTAAATCAAATTTGTAGTTTTATCTTTTAATTTCATGAAGTTTTGTCTTAATTCATGTTAAAGGAACAGATGGAAAGTTAATGAAATTATTGTTCATTTGAGGCATTATGAAAAAACAACTTGATGATTTTGTGCAGTTTTGTACATCGTGTTGGTTGTCACTGACTCTTTCATAGGTAAGCAGAAGCAGTGAAAGGTTCTTAATGTTCTGATAACTTCAGTACATTTGTGCCTGTTACTTTAATTTATTCCATTTTATAATCACTACTTGCAGCTATAAAATAAGGAGATCAGAGTTAATACGTGGAGTAGTTGAATGGTCTGTAACTAATGTCACACGTTTATACACAATATTTATCAGTATCATTTTCAACATTCTGTTTCATATACAGTATATTATTTTGAATTATATAAGCTAAAAACAGTGAGGCTAGAAAACAAAGAGTCAGTCTTTGTGTGAACTTTATACATGTATTAAATGTTGCTATATCTGCCATGTAATCAGTCTGAAAGACTTGTGTATTAGGGGACTTGTTTACAGGTGTAGGATTTGAATAGTAACTATGTGTAAATGTTATTTTGTTATTTGTAAAAATTAACTTCCTACAAAATGTTTTTAAGTAAACAGGTACTCATATAAGATTACCTTTCAAATATATTTACAAATAGTACTAGTCTAATAACCAGGTTTAAATTATGTACAAAAAAAATAGTAAACTGCAAATTAGAATAATATTAAAACAAGATAAGTCAGGTGTTATGTAATGCAAGTTTTTGTACCATGTAAACGTATAGATCTTTATGTGTTAGATGTCATTAAATATCCTTTATTATATACCACTTTATTAAATATCAATTCATTTATAAAATTTCTTAAATACAAATGTGAATGGTACCTACTCTATGAAGTGCTCAGTACACTATTATAATTATTTTGTTTTAATTTTGGGATTTTTACATAGGTGTTTTAAATGTGCATGTCACTTACTGAAAGAATAGCTTTGTGCAATTTTTGGTTTTATTTATACATGCATAGTGCAGATAATTGGCAGCAACTAATTAGATGTACAGAGAGCTTGTACTATGAAAATTACAAGATTGCTAAGGTCTGTCCAGAGTTAAAACACAGAGATTGATTTGTAAGATTTTGATATTTTTCTAACATAACTTTTTTAGTGTTTAATACTCCCTTTATTTTATGTGCACAATGAAGAAGTTTACACATAATTATTTTATAAGTTTAAATATTCACAAGGTATATATATATATATATATATATATATATTACCTACCCATAATTTACCTTTTTTGTTTGGAGGATTATTTACATGCTCTTCATGTCAACCCACTCAATGAGTAGTCTGTCACTTATTTAATTGTATTAAAGAGATATAATTATTTAGCTTTATGTCAATTTTATAAACATCTATCAACTCAGTGCAGAGATAATTAAGTAGTTTTGGAACATGAATAAAAACAAATGCAGCTGTAGCATCATAAAATCTGAAAGATGGTTACACAATTGTACTAAGAGAAAAGTTTGAGTATAACATAATAGGACTGAAATTTCTTTGTTTATGAAAATTTGTACACAGTATGTGCATGATATAGGCCACCAGATACGTGATGAATTGATTATGTATTTAGTAATTCAAAGCTAACATTATTTAGGCTTGTGAAATTTTATTCAGTTTTATGTTGATTAGCAATGTGAAACCATAAGGTTAAAGATATGTTGATCTGCTGTAATTGAATGATAATGAAAAGTAATACATGCATGATATATCATGATAAATATCTGACTTAACCAGTTATACATGCCATTTCGTTTGGGCAGGGGGAGGGTTAAAGAGCAAAATGTAGCGGTAAACACATATAGTTCATGGCACAAAGACACAAATTCCAAAAAGAACAATTACAACAGTATAAACATACTATGTATATATTTTTTCGAGTCTCAAAAGTAGTAGCTATTTAAAAATTTGCATATGTCAAAATGTGATTTCTGGTGTCACCAAACTTCATGTTACCTATAAGATTAAAAAAAAGAGATTAAGCTTGCAAAACATAGTTGTCTTATTTTATGATGAGCTGTTTAATGTAACTTTACAAATTGTGTTTTTATAGCAAGAGGTAAAGTTATCTTTTTTCTTAACAATTAAAGTTTTTAGAGTAGATGTGATGTGTGATAACTGTACTCATTTATGTTTTTAAAGGTTTTTACTTTTTTAGAATAGTATAATTTTTCTTAACTAATAATAAATAATTTTACATCATGTTAATTATGTCGTTTATAATGTAAGGTCTTTAATTGTGCTTTAGAAGTATAATTTTTACAGATCAAGTTTATATTATGGGTAAGTAAAAAGATGAAATAAGATTGGAAACCATTAATGAAAATGATATTCCAAATTAACTGCATGAACTTTAATATAAGTGGTTGCTACTTATAATTTGGTGGTTGTAACAGTAAAAAGGAAATTAAACATACAGAATAATTGTGGAAAAATTTGAAGAATCTCATGTCAGTTTTTGTAACAAGTAGAATTTAATGTTTTAACAAAGAAGCTGTGAAAACCCAATGAGATTTGTGGTATATTTTCTTTGTTTTTTATGTAAATGATGCATTGTATTTTGGTTATCTTTTTTGAATATCAAGTTACTAGTTGATGATGAGAGATTAAAATACCATTAGTGCCCTGTGTTTCTATATGAACTGCTTAAACATTATCTTTCTTTTATTATATCTCATTTATTTCAGATTTTTTTTAAATTTTTATGTCAAAGATAACTAATGATTAGACTTAGATCCTATGCTGAATTTCTGTATGTAATAAGTGTGGAATCTTATATAAATCCTTCTTTTGTTGTTTGTCAATTGAAAAAAAAAAGCAACAATAAAAGTGTTTTATAGACCTTGACAAAATTATTCGGTTTGTTCTTTAAGTTTAGTATACATTTAGATCACTGAACATAACAAAAGTTTTCACATAGGAAACGAGAATATCTCATTCCCATTGCAAAATAAAATTAAGAGAAATATGAATAGTACATCTCACTTTGAAAACGTATCAAGTAATAACTATTTTATTTGTGGTTATACAATTAATTATGTTATTATCAGGGGTGTCTTAACTAATGGAGGAGGAAGGGGACAAAACAAAATAAGTACGTATGCTTGGCAGGTTCATTTTACATCATATTTAAGAAGCTCTTACAAACAAAGGAAATGTCACTTTAGTGTTAAATTAAAAAGAACAGTAAGTACTCTTCTTAAAGGGGAGTATAAACACCACTTCAAAATACTGGTCATGTCGAAAGCATTGGCATTACATTGCAGTTACAAATATTCAGGCATGAGTTTAATTATTTTTTATTCTAACAAAGATGTTAATAATAGTGTATGTACGCTGAATGAAAAAATTGATGGGGGGGGGGCAAAATTGATTTTTTCCCCTCCTGTAAACAAAGTGGGGTAATGTGCTTGGCGCCAATAGTTATAATTATTATATAATTATGTCCCTCGATAAATTGCAGACTTCTAGATCACGTAGAACTTGTTATTATGTAACAAACAGAAAGACGCCCTTGAATTTGGGGAAAACCAAACACAACTTCATGTAGGGTATGGGTTAGATTAAGCACATATAATGCGACCCTGAATATAACAATTTGGTCTTTAGATTTGATATTAGTGCGAAGTTACGTTAAAATACATTTAATATCATTACAATAGCAGAGAAAGGTTTCAAATTTGTATTGAACATTTAATTGAGGTATCTTTGAGATAAACATAGGTTTTCATGAAAACTTTTGGTTTAGAATGTTGCTTAATAATTTATTCAAAAAGTAAGATCGTTCAGAAAATAATTCAACAACTGCCAGAGTATTTGAAAGAATCTACAAAACAATTTATTACTCGGAAACTAAAAATAATATAGCAATAAAATTGGATTTAACCGTTTAAACTTGGTGTTTTTATCAGCGTAGTGTTTATTGTATACCTACCGTAATATTTGTTTTTAAGCGAAAAGCTACACGATGGGCTGTCTGTTTCTCTACCTGCCGCTGGTATTAAAGTATGACCCCCCCCCCCAAAAAAAAAGTGGCACAGTGGTATGTCTGTGGAGTTACAACGCTAGAAACCAGTTTTCGATCCCCGTGGTGGGAAGAGCAAAGATAGCCCATTGTGTAGCTTTGTGCTTAACTTCAAACAATAAAAAAAATTAAAATCTGATCTTCAGCGTTATAAGCCTCCAGAGCTACGTTGAGCCACTGGGCAGCCTATCATAATGTACGAAACATTATGAATTCTAAATTCAACTCATTATTATAACTTTCAGGTGTACTAATTTGTTCACCATTTATGATATGAATATCCATAAACCTGATTAATTTATAACTTAGACTTAGATAATTAGAAAACGTTTCGTGAAAGCACATTAAAAGTAAAGCTTAGTAATGATTATTGAAGAAGTAATTTAAACTTTTTTAAACAAAGCAGTAGATATGAACTAACTTAAGTTTAAACATTTACACATCTTTAAATGTTTGTTTTTCTGTTGATGTTGTTCTTTGTTTGTTTGTTTCCGTTATTAGGATGCATTTCAAAGACAAAGTAAATTTTAAAGGCTTTGATTATGTATACATTTTTACTAGGTGTCGCCACCCAACGCCGTGAGTTGGGGCAGTTTGAAACAAATTTTCGTTCACGAATTTTTATATGGTATGAAACATTACTGAAGTGTGACGAATAATAATGGCAGCAAATAAAAAATTTAAGTTACTTATTCATTCGGCTCGTCAACTGGTACAAGTTTGCTCAAAAGGTGAAAAAGTGTTGCGAGGAGTTGATATGAGTCACGTGGCCATTTTAGAAAGCAAAGAGTCTGAGGGTGATACTCTTAGTGGTATTAGTGTTGTTGTTGATAGGTGAGAAGGATAAAACCGAATTTTTGATTGTAAACGCTTAATTTATTCTTATAGTAACGTAAAAAAAATATATGTATTAAAAGTAATCAACACTTTTACTTGTAGGGTGCAAAACTGGTAGGATCAGTCGTAAATGTAAATGAATAAAAATTGTGTGACACAGTGACAATGAATGAAAACGCATTAAATTATTCCTCAACAATTTCACACAATAACAAGTATTGTTTAGTACACAAAAGATACAAGTTAAAGGTTTTGCTTTATACTACAAAATCAAAAGTCACAAAAATAATAATGATTCAGATAATAATCAGTATACACATTTATAGTTATAACTTATACTCAAAACGTTATTAACACTGGAACAACCTTATGTTTAAAATTTGCCAAAGAGCTGTAGTCTTTTTTTCATTTTGGCTGGCTTTGCCAGCTGACTGATAGAATTTCTATTTTTCTATTAGAAAAAAAGACTAAATAAAAAACTTGTAAGCAAAATATTGGAGGCCCAGTGACATTCACCCCCGGTTTAATTATTGGGGGAAAGTGCACCTCTGGCTTTCCACTTGGTTCTGATTCGTATGATTACTGTTTTGTGCAAATACAATGAGTAATACTAATAGTAAAGTGAAAATAAAACTGTAAAATAAACAGTTTTATATAGTTTTTGTACAGCAAGACTTCTTGATTTTTAAATATAACCATTAATCATTACAGTATGTTTATTATCACAGAAGTTTGAATGAAGGTTAATTTAAAATATTTGTGATTAAGGTTTCAAGACAAAAGTACAAGTTTTGTAAATTTTAAGCATTTATGTCCCCATACTTGTTATAACAGGTAGTATAAAATCATAAATAATATTCAACGTTACGCTGGTATACAATTAAAAACATTTTATTTAGGCCTATCTATGGCCTTCAAAAAGTTGATGACTCTACATGTTTTGACATTACAACGTCATCCTTGCACAGTTTTGCAATAGCTGTTGAAATATATTTTCATTAATATTTCTGTAAAATTATGGTTAGAGGCTAGAAAATGAGAGAGGAGTAGCCTTATTTTGAAAAAATATGGACATTCACACATCTGTATTGATCTATATCTAAGAAAAACTTTACTGTAATTTGTAAAAGAACTAGCAGTTATTCAGTAGGTGAAAGTGAAAGGAATTAAGTGCATGAATGTGGTATAAGTGCCTATAGTACATCTATATAGAGATTAAACTCTTAAAAACAAACTTTTTATATTTAAGCTGACCAAGACAGAGGTTTTGCTGTTTTTGTGAGGTGGATTTTTTAGAGAGAATATAAAATTATAAATGGAACTTTTTCACAGGAAATTATTCAATAAGTCCTGTTGTAGAGGAGCTGATTTGAGATCGTGTTATTCAGGATTTGAAAAATTATTAGTTTCAAAAGTGTGTGTCAAGTTTTTTTTTATTTTCTGTAAAGAATCATGAATTAAAAATTTATGAGATTATTGAAAGTTGTTTGGAATCTTTAGATTTTTGTAAAAGCACAAGTTTATTGAAAGAGAATTACATTTTTTTACTTAAGATTACTACTATTTATGTAATCATAATCTTATAATTTCAATTACTTAAGTTGTATTTTTTGGGATTATTGAGAAGTACTTACATTTTTATAAAACTGGTTTCCTTACTGTGAATATTTGAAAAAGTCATTGGAGATTGAAAAACATTACCACACGTAAGCAGAAGCAAAATAATTCCATTTTGTTTGTTTTTGAGATTATTAAAAGAAAAAGAAAATATATATTTTTTGCAGAGATGGTAAAATAGCAGATATTGGAAATGATGAAGAAATTATTTTTAAGTACAAAAATGAAGTTTTTGATACACAAGTGGATGCTAGTGGAATGTGCATTCTACCAGGTGAGTCTGTGCCAGAGTTGGTGTTACAAGTCTAAATTAAATTTTGGTTTAGTTTTGATGCTGAACTTGATTGAAAATATTATATGTCATAATATTTTACTAAATTGAAATGAAAGATGTCAAAAGGTAAGCTTTCCTTACTGTATTTACATGCAAAATCGCAACTTATCAAAAGTCAATTTTATCATGGGTATGTATGTAACTTTTAAAAACCTTTTTACTAATGAAATAATTGATTAAATGAAATATTTTTTTTGGGGGGGAGAATATAGTGCTTTAAATTGCTGTTCAATGGAATTCCCTTTTTTAACTAACTTACAAATGAAATATACTGAAATTTTTATATTTTTCTTTTCATTCTCTGACCAGGATTTATTGATGCTCACACACATCCTGTCTGGGATGGTGACAGAGTCCATGAATTTGCCATGAAGGTAGGAAAGAATAGTTGTTTTTAGTTTCAGCAGCTTATGTAACTTGTATCTTTTAACCATTTCACTGCGTTGCATATCACATGATGTTTCCATTGTTAACTGCTTTGTGCATCATATGATGTTTTAGGTTTTCCCACCACCATTTGAAATCCTACCTGATATTTGGTTGTACCAGTGACCCATAGATGTCACCCTGACCCCTATATGTTGCGAGAAAAAATGTATATAATGTAAATATTAGGATTTATACAGTAGTATTAGTGACTTATATTAGTGTGCTAAGTGTATTATTTGTACAATATAGTTGTTTTATTCATGACCAATGCTGTGTCAGTGTGCTAGATAAAAGAGGAGTGAAATACCACGTCTGGAAAAAATGAACAAGTCCTGCTCCTGACTTCACTCGACATACCACCAGGCCTACACAATGGTCATTATATGATGTTTTGGTGTTTATTCTTTACTTTTGCTTGCTACACTATGATTTCGTAAGTGGTTTTTTGTTTTTTTCAAATGGGGTGGGGGTTTTCCACCCCACCTGAGTAGTGAGTGGGTTATTGACTAGAGCTGGGCAGTTAATGGAATTTGCTACACAATTAATCATCAGTCTTCATTAATTGATTATCTTCAACTAGTAAATTATTATGACATGAGACTTGTATAGTTGGAATAATTACAATCAAAAATAGTAATAATCAGAAAGCTAATTTTGATTATTTAATTGTTTTTGAGAGTTGTAGCACTAATTTATTAAGCTGATCACCCTCGAATTAATTGAAAATAATGAGAAATCATAATGGCAGTATTTCACTTACTTCGATAGTTGGAATAATCAGAAACGTTAATTTTAATTAGTTGATTATTTTACATAACACTGATTGATGTAACTGATGCTTATGTGTATTTGACTGATTGAGTTAATTACTCAACTCTATTAAAGACAACTTAAACTTCCATAAATTATCAAGTGTTTTTATTTAATGTAATATTTTGACAACATACAACAAAAGGGTAACTAAAAGTGGAAGCTGTTTAAATAGGAAAAAGACTTGCTATTGAAATATTGTCAAAAAGGATTATATATTATAGAATTCTGTGTTCTAGTCAGTAAATCTTTTCTTGTCCTTGATTAAAAACATCTACTTTGTATATTGTCAGTGTAAACAATCATTTAGTAGATTACAGAATGTTTGAAATTATTTCTAACATTCTTTGTGAAATGCAAAACTGTATTTAACCTTGATAAAATATTGATACTTTTCTTCTGCTTGAAAGAAAAATGTTTAGTCATTTTTGATGGAGATAAAAAAATAGTTACAATAATATAGTAGTCTTATTTGTTGTTTTCATATCATAAGAAAATTAAGCATTTTATGTTATAGTTATAGTTTAACAAAAAATGTTAAATGTTTGCCTATTCTAAATATGTATGAAGCAAGATTTTCACAGAAAAGATGCTCTTTGTGATAATGGGTTATATGCAGAGGGGTTTGAAAATAATATTTTTAACTTTTAAGAAATGTTTATGTCAATGAGAGCATTTTTTTATATTCTACAAAATACTGGAAAGTATCAAAATGTTTCAAAGTATTTTTTTAATTGTTTCAGGAACATATTTAAGTTTTATTGATTATTTAAAAAATGATTTCTTTATTTCAGCTTGCTGGAGCCACATACATGGAAGTACATGCTGCTGGAGGTGGAATTCATTACACAGTTGACCATACTCAAGAGGCCTCGGAAGAAAAACTCTTAATGTTATTCATCCAACGACTTCATTGTATGCTCCAAGCAGGAACGACACTCATAGAAGCAAAATCAGGCTATGGACTTGATGCGGAGAATGAGATTAAATTGCTTAGGGTTATTGAAAGAGCAAAATTTGTTCAGCCAATAGAAATCTCATCAACATATTGTGGAGCACATGCTGTTCCAAAGTAAGTTAACCTTGTAACTCTCAACTTATAGAATCTTTTTTTTTTATACTACTCACTACAAGTGGGTTCCTCATATTGAGTAATTTTATGTTTTTGCATGTTACAAAGCTAGTTACAAAGAACTGATAAAAAAAAAAGATGTATTGAATCTTATCATCTACTGGTGTTAAGCACTATTTATGTTTCAGAGGTTTGAATAACAGATGTAAAATTGTTTGTAAAAACGTGTTTTGTCATGACACTGTGTATATTGTGCAAAGATAATTTAAAATTCTTAGCTTTGATTGTATAGTTGCAGATTTATTCAAGATATTAATATTAAGGGGAAATAGCTATATTCCAAGAAGTAATATATATACTCATTGTTTTTTAATACAATGAATTTCATTTCACTTGCTTTTTTTTGAACAGAGGTATGACTTCACAACAGGCCACTGATGATATAATCAGTGACCAGCTTCCAAGGATTAAAGATCTGATGAACAAAGGAAGTCTCTGTGTGGATAACATTGATGTTTTCTGCGAGAAAGGAGTTTTTGAGGTAGAAGAAAGCAAAAAGATCTTACAAGCTGGACAGTTGTTGGGTTTGAGGGTAAACTTCCATGCTGAAGAATTACACTGCATTCATGGAGCTGAGGTGAAAAAAAAGTTGTAATGACCTGCACTATGAAACATCTGTAATGACACTTTTTTTAAATTTAAACATAAAATTAACTTTATTTTTTCAATAATTATTAATAAAATGGTGATAATGTTTGTAATGTAAATACAGTGGATGATAACTGTACAACAAAAGAAGTCCTCTTTCTCCTTCAAAAATTTCAGTTGTTTAGATGAAAAGATTAGTGATTTTATTATATTATGTTATCTATTTAATTTGCTCATTTATATGTCCTTTTCTGCTTTCTAGAAGTCAATTAGTTTTGTTGTTTTAGACTACTTTTTTTTTTTAAGTATAGAAACTACTTTATTATTAATTTATTTAAAAACTTCTGTGCATATTCATCATATATGTATAAGCATATTATGATAATTCAGATGGGAGCAAAGCTTGGTGCTGAGGCTATATCACACCTTGAAGAAATCTGTGAAGCAGGAATACAGGCTATGGCCAAAGCAGGAACAATAGCTGTTATCCTCCCAACAACACAATACATTTTACGTTTACGACCTCCTCCTGTACGCCAAATGATTGAAGCAGGAATCCCCATTGCTCTTGGGACAGATTTTAATCCCAATGCCTACTGTTTATCCATGGTAAGTGTAAATGTGTACTTAGGCCAGATGTATTGTGAATCTTGTTTGTCAACAGCTTATTCCTTCATCTAATTTGATTCCTTTCAGCTACATCTTTAAACTTTGTTATTTTACAAAACTAAGTAGAGGATTGTGTTAAATGAAAGTACAAGAATGTGTCACTTTGAAGCTGTGAAAAGTTTGATCAATAATACTATGGTGATGTTTGTAGATAGTTCATCTTATAACATGAGAGTTTTTTTACTTACGTCATTCTAGCTGGAAGTGATGTTAATATAAGTTTAAATGTGAAACCATTAATTCTTGAAGATTAAAATACTTACAGATATATATATATTCTTATGACATGCTTCTTTTGGCTGATTTTATCCATATGACAAATTACCACATGCCTGTAAACATATAAAAAGTATATAAGCACAAAACTGATTAATATTTTGAGAAACAGATTTATTGCAGAAAGTCAACCAACATAAAATAGATGTATAATTGCAAACAAGTCTCTTTCACCAAAACATGTTCCTTGTGATCTGTCAAACAAGTTAGATGACTGGCACTAATTTCACATATTTCTTGACTTTTCATTTTTATTTTAGACTAAGATTAATTCAATTTAGTTATGGGGAACTCAAAAGAGATTGCATATAAGAAATAAAGCAAATATTTGACACAGAAACCCTCTTTTGAAAAGCATTGTTTATCTTTTAGGAGAAGTCTAAATTAAATATTTAACAGATTAGTATAGGAAACTAAAGAAAATATTAAGAAAATTCATACCAAATTCTCGGGGATTTTGCTGGAAGTATAACAAATGTTACTTTAGAGACTGATTAAAATATGACACATAAGTTGTTCGTAAGGAGTTTTGAGCACCAAATGCAGACATAAAATTACTTTTATAGTCAGGAAAATGTCATTTCTTTTATGATATAATATTCTTTCTAGCTGCTATTACATTTTTGCTTGAGATGTCTTCAAATAATTAGTTTACTAATGGAGAACATTTTTAATTAGTCACCTCTGTGGCTTGTACTTGCCAAACAGCAGAGGAACAAAAAATATGAACAATTTACAATTGTAAATGCTGTAAAGGGTATTCAAATTTGACAATGCAATATAGCACTTTTGTGTCTTTATATCCTCAAGTTTATCATAACTAATTCTTGTTTGGATGAAAATGATTTGATATTAAAAATGACCAGGATTTTAAAATATAACTTGTGTGTGTGTCTATATATACATTTACAGCCATTGACAATGCATCTTGCTTGTGTTAACTTTCGTATGAGTATGCCGGAAGCCCTTGTGGCCTCTACAATTAATGCAGCAGCAGCCCTTGGAAAGTCTTTGACCCATGGATCGATAGAAATTGGAAAATTTGCTGACATGGTGGTGATTGAAGCACCAAGGTAAAGTTTCTTATATGTACTCATATTTGTTTCGATCACTTAGTACAATATCAAAGGACACACACATATATATTTTGTGTGAAATAGTGTATTACTATGTGCCATTTCTTGGATAATTTTATAATAAAGTAACAAAAACATTTCAGGGACTTGTATAAATTTTTAAACAATGAAATATGAAACACACAGTGGTAAAAGAAAGAGGAAATTGGTTGCATTGTGCTTACTAAAACATGAAATCTTTATCATTGACAAATACAGATTGTAATATGCAAATCGTGTCTTTTCATTTAACTGGTTAATTATTCCATTTTTAAGTTTTATATAAAATCATATTAAATATTATAAATGTAGGTGGGAACATATAGTGTATCAGCTGGGAGGCCATGATCAACTTATCAAGGTAGTCATTAAACATGGAAATGTTGTCCATAAAAGAACGCAGTGATCTTTAAGGAAGGAAAAAAGGTATGTTTTATTTGACCTTGTATTGTGTCAAACTCCATTCAAGAATTATACTTTTTTACTATGTAGAGGTGTGAGATTATGATTTAGATTTTGGATGCAAGTTTTGAAATAAAAATGTTAGAGAAAAATGACCTTTAAACTCCAGATAATTATAAAAGACCTTTTTTATTTGAACCACTGTTTCACCTTTGCAACTTCATCAGTTGTATGTATGGTTCAAATAAAAAGTTATTTTTATAATTATCTGGAGTTTAAAGGTTGTTTTAATCAAAATGTGTAAATCCTTCCAGTTTATGTTACAGTTTCTGACATAACTGCATAATACACTGTCCAATTGGAGATATCAAGTAATGTGATTTTTACATTTATCTTTCTCAGTACTAGGCAGTAAGAAACAAATCTCAACATTATAAATTACACAGACTACTTCATCTTTATAGTTTGTCCTATAACTGATAACTGCATTAATATTCAGATGGATGTGTAAGAATGTACTCAAAGAGTATCTCGCATGAAATACTTGTATTATTGTACTTTAGTTAGTTCTCACCAACATACTGACCACTGGAGAGTATGTATCCTTTGAATTCATTGGTAGTAACTACCACTTAAGATTTCCATCATTCTAGTGGGTTTTTTTCTAAGATACAAGATTTTCATCATTTAACACTGAATAGAAAACTTTACTCACCTTCTCATGATAGAATCAAGCAAAACTTGATATTATTTAAAATTTAACATGTTTCAGTTGTGATGCATTATGAAAACTTGCAACTATCTGTCTCTTATTACAAATATTGGTACAATCAAAACGAAAAATAGCTTCAGAATTAAAATAATTTTCACGAAAATGTAAAATATTATCCATTTCAGCAGCAGTACCATTATGGTTTATAGGCTTAGTTGGAAAAGCATGCATGATAGTATTTATCCAATTTGTATTGCAGCTAATGTCAATGTTTAAGAAAGCTGAAACATTGTATATATTTCTTTATGCTAGATATATATAAATATAATACCTATAGAATTATGGGAAATGTTTTGTCAAAATGGAAAATGACACTAAAAAAGTGAATCCTGTAACAATCTTTTTTGTGAAAGTAAAAAAAAAAATACACATTGCTATCTTCAAGTCAACATCCTGTCAGGGAATATTAACAGAATATTTTAAGTATTTCATCTTCCAAAATACAATATATATAAGAGTAAAATGTTTTTTGTGCAGTTCACAACTATACACACATTTATTTTAATGATTACTACTGCAGATTACATGTGCATGACACAAATATTGAATTTTTAAACAAATTTCTGTATATTATTAAAATAGAAATTTGTTTAAAAATCTAGATCAGTTTAACATGAAGTTATTAAATGCACTTATCCAAAATTATATACACATTTGATTGCTCCACAAAAAAAATTCCTTTTCCTATAAGAATTATTTTGCCACATGCACTGAAGATCTCAAATGGTGTGCCATTTAGTGTGTAACTTTCTCCAATTTTTTAGCAAGAAAATTGCTCCAAAAAAATATGTCACTAATATTAGAAACTGTGCCATTCCTATTCAGTAATCTCAAATGGTGTGCCATTTAGTGTGTAACTTTCTCCAATTTTTTAGCAAGATAATTGCTTCAAAAAAATATGTCACTAATATTAGAAACTGTGCCATTCCTATTCAGTAATCAAAATATTAAGTATCTTAGTTTGCATTAATGATCGATATATTACAAAATATTATTTCACGGCTTTGTTAAACCTAAATATACCAGGAATGTGCACAACATATAAAACTAAAAATGTTAAGCTTGTGTTTCATAAATGTCATGTAATGGTATAATATATTTACATTGTAAGAGTAATGCTACAAGTGAAGAGAAAAAGAAATTGTAGACTTAATTTATGCAGTATGCCAACCATTTATTGTTATTTGTTTGAAGGTAGATGAATAAAGAAAAAGTTTGTATTTATTTATAGCTGGGATTTGACCTTCCATTGAATACAATTCAAACAGCCTGTTGTACAACTTTGCCTTTAAACAAACACCCACATATCTCATAACAGGCAGTTGACAGTCTCATTTAGCAGACACACACCATAGTTTTTATGTATATATATTACCGAAATTGACACATTCAAAAACCTGTGATTTTTATATTGCATGGCTGTTAAAGATGTTAAACTAAGGTTTGCAAAAAAGTTCCTCATTCTTGACAGTCTATAATTATTTCAATGTAAACTAATTATTCAGCATAAACAATGAATATAAAGGCATTATACAGTAACAGTAACTAAATATTAAAGTAAACATATTTTTAATAAGAATGTAGCAGTTCTTTTTTTCTTATATCCACAATCAAAATTAAGATGAATTTAGTTATTACTAACACGTTTCAGAAAAGCAAGACTCTATCAAACATAATTAAAACTATTGAGATTTTCACATTAATTTGAGTAAATATCCTTACAACCAGGTCTTTCTGAGTTTTTGGGTATTTTGTTTAGTTATTCAGATATCTAACTTACATTTTTGCATGCAGTGCTGCATACTCTAACTCTGATCTAAATAATCATAAAATAAGAATTGGTTATCAAAGTTTTAAACAGCATTTTCCTCCTTATCATTTCTTTCAGGTTTGACTTTGGTAGGAAAAACAAATATTTCAGAAACCACAGTTTTGGAAGCTCCAGCTAAGCATGAATTTTGGGAACGGTTTAAACTTGATCCTGTCGATGGTGTGTGATGACGAACCTTTGAACATAACAGCCGGTAGTAAGCTTGACGGTAATGACGATTCATCACTGCATAGATGAATGGATTGATACAAGATGACATCCATGCCAAGACTGAAGCTAGGACATGTATGGTAGGGTATCTGAAAAAATGGATTGTTTATTTTTGTTCAGAGATTTGAAAGAGGTTCTTAGTAAAAACCTATTCCTTGTTTAGTTTACTCATACACTTGAAATATTATAAGTTTTCTGTTATATTTTAAATAAGTGTTTGGCAGGATACCTTAAAACAGGCTTATAAATAATTATTGTTTAAGATATGTGTGTTTAACCATTTCTTTTGGTATGTCTTATTATAGATTTATTGCCAGATAACTTTTATTATACTCTATTATATACTTACTGCTTTTTATTATTCTTTGTTACTTGTTAAATTTAAGTTGTTTTTCAAACAACCCAAAAATTATATAGTTTTAATACTCTATGAAACAAATAAAAGTATCAGATATGAGCTTTCATTTGTATTTGTTTTGATTTATGCAAATTAGTCTTCTTAACTCTTGTTTTGGAATATTGTCTGAAGAATTAATTCATTCATCATTTACAATGACATATTTTTTTTGTTCAAATGTTTGTTTGTATCAAACCAATATGGAAGTTCTTTCACTCTAGTTAAAAATAATTCTTATTTTTTTACAATCTGGTTTAAGTATGGCTTAGTGATTAGCATGGTTTGTGTGATCTGTTGTCACAAAAATTCACACCGTACTTAGGAACCATGGATGCACTATGAAAATTCTAAAATTTTTTAAACCCATCTTGGACAACATAAAAAATACAGCCTAGCCTTAAAGGAGAACTGTATTTTAAAATAACAGTGAATTGCTTAAATTCATTCTATAGTGAAAAGTTAGTCCTTAACCCATATACAAATGTATGTAAATAAAAGCTGAGTTATTAGAGCAATCCTGAATGGCCAACTGGGAAGTCAAACAAGAGATAAAAAAAGAGAATTATTAATAAATTTTTGTTTGGTTTATGTATATACAATATTGAAGACAATAAAAATGTTAAATATATATGTTAAGTGAAGAAAAAGAAAAATGTAATCAAAGCAACTTTATAAATTATCCCAAAGTTTTTACAAAGGGATTGTGTAATGGGTGATTATATACACCATATATTTTGTAAAGTAAATTTACTTGTTCATATGTGGTGATGTGTGTGGAATCATTGTGACATTGACATTTCTAGGGGGGGGGGGGAGCACACAACATAATGTATTGAATTAAAAGAAGCAAATTTTAATACATAAGTTGTAGCTATACAGGCCGTGGCCTGACTGATTTTTCAGCTTCCTACACTCTGTAAATAATTATCTTCTTACTGTGTGCCAGAGGGACAGTGCAGAAAGGAACAACAAGTTATGCCAATGCCAAAGTCTTGACCAAACTGTGGATTTGTTTAATATTATACTTAGGTTTTAAATACAGATTAATAATAATATTTTTAAGATGGGTGAGATTGTTTATCTAAAAAGGAAAATACTGACAAATTGTTAGCTTAAATCTTGTGAATAATGTAATAAGTTATTTGTATTAGAAGCTGTACACCAAAGTTTAACGTTGATAATTAACTATTCTGATACAAAATAACTTGTAACAGTAATGTGGAAAGTGTCTCAACACCATATTAAAATAACATTAGTGTAAAAATGACAGTTAATATTCCTCACCCATGATGATTAATGCTTCAGACACAAGTAAAATAAGCAATTTCTCTTCCCATTTGTTGGGAGACTTTTGACACTGCCATCAATTAGTAAAAGGTAAGAACAAAATCACTTAAACCAGGTATTTATAATGCACAGTATAGTTCAAAATATCATTTTAGCACATGTGCCATACCTAATTCTGCTGTCAAAAACATTTACTACCATCAGGGGTAGGAAACAAAGAATAAATGAGCAGAAGATGATCAGCATCATGCGAGTCAGTCGAATTTCATCGTTTCGTTGGGTATTTTGTCTCGTGATGGTGGATGGAGTTGTTTGACTGGTTGGACTGTGAGCCTCGATATTTCTCCGACTGTGACGTACCTGAAAATACAGAAATTCATACCGTGAAGAAAAAAAAAAGGTTCTTTTGAAAGAAAATTACAGTAGAAATAAAGCTCAGGATTACTTCATCGTGAATGGCTTAATTTGAATGATAAGATGCAACAAGTTGGTTTCAAATTAATTTATCTACAGTAGTGTGATGTGTAAAACGTACGATAGGAGGTTTTAACTTTCCCCCAAGCAGTAAGTAATTATTTCGGTATTTAAGGCTTTGTAAATACAAAGTAAGGAGATTAAGCAGTGATCATCCCGTTAGTCGATATTTGCTATTATTTTATAAATTTGATGATTATTTAAAAAGAAATACACGTTAAAATTATTTGTAAAAAAATTAAATCTAAACCGTAACTTTGAATTCGGTATTTTGTATATTTACCGCTATTACCGCCGGTCTTAGTCCATAATAAAATCGGCTATTGTGTATATATGTCAAACACGTGCCATTAAACTACTGTAACTAACACTCGTGGTGCTGTAAAGTTTTATTAACGATTTGTGATAAAGCACAAAGCTGCACAATGGGCTGTCTGTGGTCTGCCCCCCCCCCCTCTCCCACAGTTATCTAAACATGTTTTTTATCGTTATAGGACCGTTGAGCTATTGTATACTCTGTACATTATTTGTTCGCCGCATGTTTGAATCGCAAGCTATATTTCGCTATTAAACGTTTTGTCCAAGAAATCTGTGACTGTAAATTAAAAATAGCTAGCGTGCGTACTAATAAGCTAAACGTGACACCCATACAACACAGTATACTATATGTATTTATCATTGGAACATGTCATTTAGTCCGAATAAATTTAGATGGCACACTATCTTTAAGTTAATGTTATTTATGAGGAAGTGGAATATAAATCCGCGGTTCAGCTTTTAAAAAATAAATCTATAATCATAACTCCAAATAGGTACTTTAATCATAAACCAACAGTACATGGATTCTGAGCTTTACAAACTAACTGATATGTTTTAAAAGTATGCAGCATTCTGCCCTGATTAAATAGCCAATAATGTGAGCCAATCAGCATCCGAAACGAGATGGCTTAGTTAAAACACCGGATGATGAATCTCAGTTTGGACTTCAAGATATTTAAATAATAGACAAAAGCTACACTGAAAATTACCCAGAGCGACAGACTGCTCGAAAATGTTTCAGCAGCCCAGGAAACGCTTTGAAAACATAATATTTTCAACTACTTACAGTTATATACTCACTGCCCTGTGTAAGTTAAGTTTTTTACGCCCACCTTAAACTTACTACATCTAAAGCGTGAATGCGGCTTAATTTTTTTGTTTCAAATGGAGTGGCCATCCTCATTCTCAGTTTTTCTTTGTAATCACACTTTAAAAATTAATTACTAGAACTATCAGGTATATTTATTACCTTGTAGAAGATACAAGAGTAGGAGACAATGATCACGACACAAGGAACCAAGAAGCCTATGATAAACAAGAACTTCTTTGGAGAGTGACCGTTTCGTCTTAGGATGGTACAAGAAAATGTTTCATCGTTCAGACCGAACTCTCCCCAAGCACGTGCCAATGTCGGTGTAAGCATGGAGAAGCTAAATATCCAAGAAAAGGCGATCATCAGCGCCACGTAACGTTTCTTGTAGATTCTGTCGTACAGGTTGTAGTGGTTGATTAAGATTAATCTAAACCGTGGGAAAAAATGCGTTAAAAATATTAAGAAATCAAACAAAAAATCAACTGTAATTAAAGACCATATGTAAATCATAACTTGCGCATAAATGTTAAAGATATGTTAAAGATAATTTACAATCGTTTGTAGAAGCTACTTACCAATAAATATGAAGTTCACTTATACTATGTGATTTTTAAAAACATATATAAACTAAAATTAAACAATTAAAGGAATCCAATTTACCCCCCGAAAAAGAAAAATATCGCAAAATACTTCAGTAACTCCAAATCACTTGAAGAAGGAAGATATATACTTTTCAAAAGAGCTCAGATTATTAGATAGCATACAGTTTTTTTTCCTTTTGTTTGTTTGTTTTTTATTTTCTGTAAATGCTTCGGCCCCTAAATTAAACATTTTACATCCCATGCTCTATAATTTTTGAAAATTGCTGAGGAAACAAGGTGCAAGTGTACACTGGTAGCTGGAACACAACTGCCAAATACACCGAAAATATAAATTCACCAATACGATCTGTGTACACTATCAATTTAAATTTAATAAGCTTATGAAATTTTTAATTTACTAAGTTTATTGATTATTCTTATGAGCTATCTAGCAAGTGGTTATTATTCGTCACCTTCCAAGTACATTGTTTGGATAACACTCACGGACTCATTATCTTCATCGTACCGTTATAAGCTAAAGTAAATTACCGAGCCTACTTATTTCAGAAGAAGAGAATATTCTGAGATGAATTAAAGATGGCTTCAGATTAGTAAATACACGAAATAGTTAAATATTTTAAAGGTTGAATGAATTTTGCTTAGTATTTATTGATAGTATTCTGCAGGATTATAAGGCTGTCACCCAGCTCCTAGAATTTACTATTCTTGTACCAAAAAAGGTTAGTTTCCTCATACATAAGACAATATTGTCTACATACGAAGATAAGCTTCTTATTTGAAGCAGTGTATACCAACAGTTACAACCAGAAGTAAAATTTCGACTGTACTCACCAGCGCTCAGCAACGGTGGATGAAGGTTATGTTTTCCCCCTGTGTGTGTCAGCAAGATTTTTCGAAAACGGCTTAATGGACTTGTATGACCGTAGTGATTAGTTTTCAACGGTGGATGAAGGTTATGTTTTCACCCCTGTGTGTGTCAGCAAGATTTCTCGAAAACGGCTTAATGGACTTGTATAAATCCATTCAGCCGTTTTCGAGAAATCTTGCTGACGTATGTTGAAAACTAATCACTACGGTCATACAAGTCCATTAAGCCGTTTTCGAGAAATCTTGTTGACATACACAGGGATGAAAACATAACCTTCATCCACCGTTGAAAACTAATCACTACGGTCATACAAGTCCATTAAGCCGTTTTCGAAAAATCTTGCTGACACACACAGGGATGAAAACATAACCTTCATCCACCGTTGAAAACTAATCACTACGGTCGGGTGACCCAACTTAGTAGTGATTAGTTTTTAAGAGGGTTAAGGTCACGAAAATCCCTATCTGTTAACATGGAGACGGATTATTCACACTATTTTTGCTATATAACTGTCAAAAATGATCGGATTTTGATGAAACTTGGTGAATATATATATAGAATATTATTCCTTATTGTCCTGCCAAATATGGTCCGTGATCGTTGATGAGGACAGACATACGGACACATTTTCGTTTTTTTTTTTGTGAGCCGAATATGATCAACGCTGCGAAGGTACGTGCTCTACTGTGTGCACCTCTAGTTTAATTTTGCTTTTCGTCCAACCTGCCTTCCATAATATTGTCAAAAAGCAAACATGTTACACATCAGGGCCCAACAAAAAGAATAATTGTATGGGGCCCAACTACTTTTTATGCGCCACTGATTAGCATGTATAATGTTTTTGTCACTCAACGGAATGGGAAGCAAGGCAAAAAAAATTAGTTGCCTTTAATGTTTCTTTAAAACCATCAAAACAGTTAATCTTGTGGAAAAAATGTAGCAGTGTTTTTTGACATATCAAATGAAATTTATAATTGTGCTCACTATGAGTGTTGTTATAAGAAACAAGGTTACATGTATTTTCTTCTTTTTTTTTTGCAAACGATAGTATAAATTACATATATGGCCCAAATCCGTTGTTTAGTGCACTTATGAGTACTGACACCTGTTTTGTGGGGAATTTCGCCTTTGGATACAACTTGGTGCATAATAATTTGACCAAAACGAGATATGTTTTAACTAATGCGTGTGAGCGTGAGAATAAATCCAGATGTGCAAGTCTTACGCTCAGTGAGCGAGTGTTGGTAGCTCTGGAAACGTAACTAGTGGCTATTAACCTCAGAACAGTTACATTACAAATATTTTAAACTTTAAACTAGACATAATCTATAATGTAAAGTCAGACGTTTTAGGATTGTATTACATTAAATGTTGTATAAGCCTTAAAATTCAGAAGTAAAGTTCTTGTGAGTAATGGGCTTATCAGTTAATCGTCATTAGAAGTCTTTTCCCGAATGTAAGTACCATGATTAAGGATATTAGAAACAACAAATAAGGAATATCAGAATACAAAGTATTGTATTTACTTATCTATTTATTTTATCATTATTAAAGCCTGGAATAGGTAATTTGCGACTTGTGACAATACATGGAGTTCGATAGGATAATTATTTATTTAACATTAAAATCTGGAATGGATAACTCACGATATTTTTAGGAATATTAGTTTGGATTTCATACTTTTAGGTTTATAAGCTTATCTAATACTGTTGATTCAGCTAGGTCTAAAGTGGTAACATTGGGTTTAACCTTATTAATCAGCCGTCCCGGTTTGGACCTCTCTGTCCCGAAGAAATTTTTCATTTTCAAGACATAACAAATGTCCCGGTTTTAACTCACCTTTTTTTTTTTTTTGCTATATGACTCCATACCTGCCTAAAAGTTCAAGTTTTTGGCTGTTATTATATCATCTAGAAACGAAAAATAGAAAAGGTGGTCAACATTAATCAATGTAAACCACAATTTTAATTGCAGTGTCATCATCAATCACATTGCAGGTCATTTTTGGTAGCGATGTCAAAAGAACTTTAAAAATAATGTGCAGCTTTCTCGTCACATCTGTAGGTTTGCAACTCTGTTAAAAGACTCTCAATGAGATCTGCTACTTTCATGTAATACAACTTGGAACTTTGCAGCATATCTGTCGTTCCTTTTGCTTCTTGTAAGATATCATTCAGAAACAGCATGCAGTAGAAAAACGTCTGTCAAGTTGCGCCTAAATGGACTGGGCATTTAATGCACGGTTTCGATTGTTGTCACTTACGTCAACATGCTGCAGAAATTTAATAAAACAGTCAAATCTTGCTACAATTCCACTTACAGCACGCATCTGACAATCCCATCGTATTTTTCAATTATACAGGCTTTTCATATGAGTGTGTGTCTTTTCTTCTTTGGAAAGCATCCACTGTGCGTCAACATTAGAACCACTTAAAAATTTGTAGCAAATCTGAAGCGTTGAGAAAAAGTCATCAACAGGGGTAACACATTTCACACTTTCTACAATGCGCAAAACGTTGAATGTAGATGGCTTGAGGTACGATTTGTCTTATTTTGTGTTGAATTCCAGAGTACTTGCCGTTTATGACGGTGGTGTCATCATATCCTTGACTAATCAGGTTTGGGACATCAAGTCCGTTGTTCTTTAACTCCTCCAAAATCTATTTGGCCAACGATTCTGCGTCGAGTTCATCAGCGACTTCAGAATCATTAAAGTACCTAACTCATCTTTTCTTTTTATTTTTTGGATAGGTTTTTAGTTTCATCGACTAATATTGAAAAGTACTGAGCTTCTCTTATTTCTTTTTTTATTTCTTCCAAAATTATAACACTGACGATATCTGAAATGGTATCTTGTACACTGTAGTGCGTATATTCGGCATTTTTAGGCCCTTCACACAGTTGTTCATTTAGAATCCGGGAATAAGGATTTAAGAAGTTTAATATTTCCAAAAAGTTTCCTTTATTTTCAGCTGTGTCTCCTTCACAATGACTCCTCTGAGCTATGTTTTGGACAGCTGTAAGTCTCAACGTATCTGCAAATATTTTGATGTACTCCCTATTCATTTTTTTCCCACAATCAGCTGGTGAGCTTCATTGACGCGATCCACTACTGTTTTCTCAGAAAGCTTCGATTTGAAATAAGCATCATAATTGCATCAGACTGCTTGTGTTTGAGAAATTTATTGTTTTTTAGAGATCCAACCGTGCACTTTTTCCATGTATTGAACACTTGCTCACCTTGATATTTAGCGCCTGTAGTAAAATGAAGACACACAAAACAATAAACTTTGTCAGTAGATGCGAAATATTCAAATGAAACCAAGGATATGCTTTATACCATTCAGGTATGAATTTTCGTCCATAAGTCTTTGGAAAGCGGAAGGGCTCATTAAGACCAGGTCGAATCGGTTCATTGTCGGGCATTCGAGATATATCAGCCGCACCATCTATTCCAAGAGTCGACCTGGGCAGAGTTGATTTTTCAATGCTGCTCGGCTCGTGTAATTCTACAATGCTAGTGGGTTCGCCCAACATATCTTCATGTTCTTGATCAGAAGTATCTACACAACCTCTTTGGTTTTATAGTCTGTCCTCTGTCGAGTCTTCACGTACGACTATTTCATCTTCAATCCTTCGGCGCTTCCCGTTTGTTCCACCTGCATCCTTGATATATTCATCTTCCTGGGAATCCTGTGAGTTACGCGGATTTTTGCAAATTTTTCTGATATCCATTTTCTCGATAGTAAGACTTGGTGTGTCTACACATGTATGCAGAACACCAACTTCATATAACAATGCCCCCCAGTGGCACAGCGGCATGTCTGCGTACTTACAGCGCTAGAAACCGGGTTTCGATGCCCTTGGTGGACAGAGAACAGATAGCCCATTATGTAGCTTTGTGTTCAACTTCAAACCAACTAACCAATCATGTAACAATTAACAACACAACGTAAAGTTTAAAGATATCCGCGACCTCTTGACCTAAAAAATTTAAGAACAACCTCGCAACAAGTACTGAGGCGCAAATTAAAAACGCCGAAGATTAGACTGAGTTTGTATGTCGGTATGCTTATTCCGGTTTAACCACCTGACAATTATGGTTTTAATAGTGCAGATACGTATTGTATTTTTAGTTTTCCTTAACGATAGTTGCTTTAACAAGTAGACATGCTAAACAATTAAAAGATGTTTAAATATGTAATGTATATGTCCTAACACAGCGTGTAAATTTAAAAACAAAATTGGCTTGGTTAATTTCCTCGTCATTTAAAAAGTAAAAAGAATAGACGCTACTTTTTGAATGGGTATTATTATTATTATTATCATTAAAGAAAATATTGAGGATATTATTGGAAGAAGGAGAGCATGTGCCGAGGCCGTTACCAAACCCCTCAAGCATATAATAGAAGTAATAGTATTAAAATCAGTGTTGCCAAGTCTCGGAAAAAATAAGCGGCACTGCCGTTCAAAACTGCTTTTTGATGGCTTAATTGGTATATAGAATGTGTCAAGTGGGCAAGTCAGGAAAGTTGTGGTTGTTGGTATGTTTTTAAATTAAATGAACAGGAATGGGAATAGGATGATTCCAAATTTTGAATAATGTGTAGACTATTCGTTGGCCCAATCAATCAACAAAACCACTCTTCGAACCATTTTACTGTGTGTTGAAGTGAGCTATTACAAAAGAAGCCCAGATAAGCGATCTAAGAACAAAAAAAGCCCAATTCCGCTTATTATAAGCGGACATGGTAATTAAAATCACCTTACTTATATTGGGTAATTGGTATTAAAATTTTAAGATATACAATAAAAAGATACATAATAGTAGATTAAAAGTGGATGCTGCCGGCCAGTTTCCTCCCCGTGGTCGGTAGTTCGGAATTGGGAACGGCACAACGGCTTTTGGAATGCGTACTGATAAACATACTGCACTAAACTAATCTTTTGTGTAAATCAAATCAATCTTAATCTGAAATAATCTTTAAATAAAAGATACTTAAGATAGCATACTTCTTCTTCTTCTGAAACTGTAAGACCTATTACCTACCACTATGCGTTCCAGAATCGTATATAAATACATATGTGGTGGCTGTAATGCTACTTACATTGTCAAAACTATTCGCCAATTACACCTGCGAACATATGGGAGTATCAAGCAGAACTGGTAATAAATTATCAAATCCACCAGACTCCACAATTAGCACACATAGTGAAAACACTAACCACCCTGTCTTGATTACGAATTTCAAAGTCATCTCAACTGTCAATTTAATATTTATCAGCTAACCAGTTATTTATTAAAGCAACACAAAATTATAAAAACTAAATAAAACAAGTTAACAATAAAATACGTCATCTTAAGTATTTTTTTCATTTTAAGGAAGACTGAAAAGCTTTACAATACTTATTGATAAGAAATTGTTTAAGGAACAAAAAGTTGTTATTAATCATTTAAATCTAAACACTTTAAAACAGATAAATAAAAGAAAATAAACGAATGTATTGTTATATATTTTTTTAAATAATCCTCAAAGAAAATATGCTGTTCCAAATGCACACCTACCTGTTGATTGTAATCATTGTCATAGACAGGAGGGAAGCCCCAACGTTTCCATAGAAGAAAAACGGAAACAGAGAACACATTGTTTCTCCTAACAACCAAGCCTGGTGGATGTACCGTGATGCTGTTAGAGGTAAATTAATCGCACAAAACAGGAAGTCAGTTGTACAAAGACTGATTACAAACGCCGTGGTGGCGTTTCTCAATTTTACGCTCCGACAGAGGGCGAGGATCGTCAAAAAGTTGCCCAGCAGCCCAATGATGATGAATATAACACAGCAAACAGCAGCAAATACTGTAGCACCACGAGGATACCTTGGTATCTCTAGGATAACTTCAGTTCCGTTAACATCTTCCATCAGGATTTATAATCGATCTTCAAACTCCGTCCAAGTCGGTAATATTGCAGGTTTCTACTAATGTTTAACTCTTTCCTTTTTTCTTCTTTTGTCTTTATATAGATATGTATTTCCTTTTTTTATGTTCTTTTAGTAGATTGATAAATGAAACACGAACTTAAAAATCCCAACAATAAACATCAACTTCTGAAAAATAAAAAAAAGCGTGTGTGTGTAGAAAATCAATACTCAAAGAGTCAAGCAAAACAAAATGAAAAAGAAGAACTGCATTAAAAACAGCAAATCCAAACCTGTGACAAATGACATCCAAATGAACAAAAACACACCCAAACAAAAATCAAATCAAAAACGCTGCACAAGTCAAGAATATCCTCAGGGCACAGGCTGTAATGTGGGATATAATTTGGCACATTTTATATCCCACATAATAGCCTGTACCCTGGGAATCCTCTTGACTTGTGTAGCGTCTTTGATTAGATTTTTTGTTTGGGTTTGTTTTTGTTCATTTGTGTGTCTGTATTGGTATTTTATTTACAATAGCTACATATTCAATCAAATCTATAAAACATATCGAACACAGAGGAAGCTGTTCATTCACACCTCACTGGACATTCCTTTTCAAAAGCGCTTTACAGTAAACATTAAATACAAATTGAACATGCATATTCTTTTAGATGGGCCAAATCTTCACTGAAGCATATGTTTAAGCTATGATTAATGTAATTTAGAAAATATAGTTTTAAGTTATGTTTTACACTAATAACCTTAGCTTTCGGAGCTTGGAGTATACCGGGATATATACAAGGTAAGTAAGTTTACATAAGAATTTGTTTAGCTCGCATGTTTTGACACCAACTTATTTTGCGGTGTAGGGAATAATCGAAGAACGTAAACCTGCAGATATAAATCAGGAAGGAAGGCACTTTGAACACTTACTTAAAGGGAGGAAAGTGTCGTAAAATAACGTAAAATTTGTTCATTCATCTTTGTGTGGCTATAGTAACAACATACTATGTTTTATATTGTATAACTGACTGAATGAGCCATTGGTTTATTAATTAATTAAGTAAACTTAAAGCCCACCCTGTATATCAGGACAAGTATACAAATACTTTTTGATTACAGTTTCAATGTTCATAACTTATTGCAGGCAGTCAAATGTATGTTAGTGAAAATCATATAAACATTACATGAAAATGAGCGAAAATGCAATAAATTGTAGGTGTTTCGTAGGAAAAACAACGAAAAATAGAAATTCAGACCTCTATGTGAATTTTCATGAAAGGAAATACAAATTAAAAAACAAATTCAACTTCACATGGGAAAATGCAACGAATTGTTTTAAAGTAAAGGAAGCCTTAAAAAAAAACAGGATAGTTGTGGGTTTATCACGAATTCGTTATGCAGAAATGGTTTCAGAATTTCGTGCCATGCTACACAAGGTCTAGCCGGTTGTTGATTTTGAACTGATAGACTAGAGCAGTGTTGCGAAACTGTCACACTGATACTCCCTAACTTTGGTTGTTTTGTTTTAAATTTCGCGCAAAGCTACACGAGGGCTATCTGCGCTAGTCGTCCCTAATTTAGCAGCGCAAAACTAGAGGGAAGGCACCACCAACGAATAGTGGGATTGATCGTACATTATAACGCCCACGGCTAAAAGGACGAGCATGTTTGGTGTGAGGGGATTCGAACACGCGACCCTCAGAATGCGAGTCGACCGCCCTAACCACATGGCCATGCCGGGCCCTCCCTAACTTTAACAAAAAATAAATACACATAAAAAAGCTCCTCCCGAAAGTTTACGATTTGAGAGATTGCAGATAGAAAAAACACTGCGGAAGTCTGTCGTGTCACGATTGCTAAGGGTGCTCCTGGCAAGATGAATAAAAGTGTTATTCGAGATATCTTACTTTGTTACTTGGGTAATTTTTCTAGCAGCATTTTTTCTTTTAATCACCCACCCTCCTTAAACAAAAATACAAGCATATGATGTCTCCCAAAGGAGGCTACCACGTGGATTGAGATGCGCTGGACTAGGGGTAGGGCAGCTAATGTCAATATCTACCAGCAACTCTTAAGCTACTCTTGTGTGATCGAATAATGGCATCTGACCAACGTACTTATACCCATGCCCCCAAAGTGCAGAGCGCGGTTTTGTAACAACAGTCGCACATCACGCATCTTTGAATGCACAGTTCGTGTACGATAACCACCGGCCACGCCCATCCCTGAAATAGAGTTGTTGGACACTATTCCCTCATATAAACAGCGTTTCCGTGTTCCAATAATTATAGAAATTGCTTTGTTAGTTGTTATAGAACAGATTAGGTAAAAAGGACATTTTTCTACAAGCTCTTCCACGACTTCCCTTCAACTTTACAATTAATACTGTTTCATTCCATCCAGTAACTTCTTTTGTTACGGCTGTTGGTTAGGACGCTGGACTCGCAACCTGCGGGTCACAGGTTCGAATCCTGTCATCATTTGTGCTCACACTTTCAGCCGTGGAAGCGTTATAATGTGGAGATCGATTAGAGTAGCACAATGGTTGGCGGTGGGTGGTGTTGACTAACTACTTCCCTCTAGTCTATCACTGCTAAATTAGGGTTGGCTAGCGTAGATAGTCCTCGAAAAGCTTTGCTTGAAATTCAACACAAACATTTTGTTGCATAATGTTCGTTGTAGACTTTTGATCACTCAGAATATATAAATTTCATGGTAACATTCACATTTTTATTCGTTGAATTATTAAGTGACGCCTGTATGATTGTCCCATAACAGAAAAACACTAAGCCTTGACTAAGGCAACAGGAATATTATGAAGAATCAATCCACACATTCATACACACGGTACTAAGAATAACAAATACAAGTTGACTCACTTCAAAACTATTAATTTTTCTTTCTCGCTTTTTTTTTATAATTTTTTTAAATCTTGAAGACCCCTATTTCATGACATTGAGGAAATTTCCTAAGTTTTACTTGTGACACTACATCACTATTAGTACCGTTATGTTCCATCCAGTAATTCATGTTCTGACAAAATGTTCGACATAAACTTTTAAATACTTAAAATACATACCAATATTTAATAGTAACATTATCAAGATTACGTCTTTTTTTTTTTTCCTTTACAAATCACTTGAATTATACATGTTGGAGAATTTCTATAATACAACGCCTGCCATACGCCTTTTATTCCTTTGTAAGATACGCTATTCGCGTAATTTTTTCGAAATTTTAAACCACTAAATTAACGTGGTTATGTCAATTTATATTCTCTCTTTATATAAAATAAATAATAATAAAATATGGTCAATAGGAGTAAGGTTACATTTCTTCTTCTGAAATTATATAAATCTTAAACCTTAATTCATGAAAAAATGTAGCTACAAAAATATTTCAGTCTAAAATTTCTCCAAGAGAGATAATAATCAAACGAATATCAATTAGTAAAATATTAGCGGGAGTCTCTGGCATGTTTCATACTTTTTTAAAGTTTTTTTTACTTGACTTTCGAAATTTTTGGATATTTTTCTTTTGCTAACTGCAAACCATGTGCATTATGTAATTTTCTTTTTCATCTAAGATCGTCTTCAATTTCAAGATGTGGTTTAACCAAATGAATGGAATGTTAAAAGGTCGATCCTTATAAAGGAACTCTTTTTGATATGGACGTATAGATGTGTACAAGTATGTTATTTCCATAAACGTCCTGTAATGTCTGTGGTTAAGCTGATTAATGCGCTTTTCCTGTTACACAAACATTCGTTGCATAACCATCTATTGGATTCTGGCATATATTTTTACAGTACGAATTAAAGGCTCTTTCTTAGAGGATGCAAGTTTAAAAAATGGGGTAAGTAAAAGGTGGCTAACGTTTTGAAATTATTTTATCAGATATTCCGCATGCCTACTTTCTTTAACTGAAAATGGTTTGTTCTTCTCTGCCTGTTTCACCAAATATCGGAATTTATAATTTACTGTAACCTGAAGAAACTTTATTCGATTTTAAGCCAAAAATTAAGTTGTACTTGTAGTTAGCAGCCTAATTACAGTAATATAATTAAACTCAGTTTACTGGTTGCGCGAATTAAACGTGTTAATTTAGCTTAGAAACGTGAACATAATGATTAATACTAATAAAGTAATATTAAACATTTAGGGCTGTGCCTTAAAATTAGATGGCCAAGTAAGTACACAAGACGTGTTCGTATGAGCTTCGCTGTATCACCCGAAAGACGCCAGAAAAATTCAATTTTATACATACCTAGGTTATCGTGGACACAGGCTACAGCAAACTGAGACTTCAATCACTCTACTGTTACTAACTCGACCATTCGTTCAACAGGATTATGATAACGTATGTGTAACGTTTTAAACCGAGCTTGAACAACAAGAAACAGAGTTCTCATATGACATATGAACGACGAGAGATAATTTCTCGTTCTTGCACGTCATACATGTCTACATACTTTACGCGATTTATTATTTTGCTTGGTCAAAGAAGAGAACTGTCTCCATAATGTCACAGAACATAAGCCAATCTAGCTTCCATGTGTTCATTTTTATAAAGCGAACGTTGTAGGATAACAAGTAAAATACTTTTATTTAGATACGATGATAGAGTCGTAAATACAGCGACAGCTACCGTTATGTAGGAACGCCAAAATTCAGACGAATATTCCAATAAGTATATGTTATTCTCAAAGCAAAAATAAAAGATGTAAAACTCAATAATGAATTATGGTGCACGAGAAAGAAATGGTGTTTTGCAAGATTAACTAATCAACAGAACCTTTTAGGACAAAATAATTTTCACAACTTCAAATCTTGACATTAAGCTTAACTTGCTTCTCTTGGTATGATGAAATGTAGTCTAAGATTTATAAATAATAGAAGATAAGAAATTAGAAAAACGAAATTATGTTCAACCTTTTTAAAAAATCTTAAAAGAAACTTGAAGATAAATACCAGTTCAATTATTTATTTTTTTTACTTTCACAATTTAAACGACAGGCCGATCCATTTAACCAGCTAACCGAGAACTGCAGTTTTGTCAGCAATGATCAGTGGCCCAGACAGTCTTAGTTGGTGAGAGCTCAAACTGATTGTGATATATTGGCTTTTAATCAAACGTTAGAGTAGTATATTAATTCCTACCTCCCCCTTCCACCCCATTA